AGTTTGAGCCCCACGTCGGGTGCAGAGATTACTTAAAAATAAAATCTTAAAAAAAAAAAAAAGAGGACTCCCACAAACCCCCTAAAAAGGCAAGGCCAGGAGGGACAGTAGCACCTGATGCGGGCAAAGCTATAGGGAACCTGTTGCAGATGTTCTAGGAAACAGTCCAATAAGATGTAATAAGAGCTATAAAGTCGTCCCCACCTTGTGGCCTAGTAACCCCACTTCATAACCATCTTCAAAGGAAAAATATTTCTTTAAATGCTCATAAATGTTCTAGAACGATAGTGGTTGAACAACTTTGTGAATATGTTAACAACTACTGAATTGTACACTTTAAAAGGACAGATTTTATGATACGTGAATTATAACCTAATTTTTTAAAAGCTTGCAACGTACTACTTAAAATAGCAAAAAGTGAAAACAGCCAAAATGCCTCATAATAGGGCAATTCATTTTCCGTGATACAAACAGAACTGAACAGAAATGCAGAGCTTATACGTTGTACAGGCTGTCGAAACATGGAAGTTTACATACATATTCACGTACGTCTATGACAGAGAGACGATACTGGGTGAAGAACGGACGCAAAGGAGTGTTTCGGACCAACTAGGGGTCTATACATCTGCCAGCACGAGTCACAGAGAAGTCATGGGGACAGTGGCGAACACTGCCACTTCCTCTCCTTGCTGGCTTGGAAGAACAGCATTTCCACTTGTAAAGTATTTCTGTGTACGTCATTTCGTTTAATCCTTAAAACAACCCCGAGAGAGAGAGACAGAGAGAGGTAATGGGGGTTAGCACCATTATCCAGAGATGTGCTGAGGACGCACCCCTCACAACTGGGACCAGAAACCCCCTCCCCGTTGCCTCCATGCCGTGGGAGATCCGGGTTTTCCCAGGAAAACACAGAGTTAAGAACAACAAAACCGAAAGCTCGCTGTGATCCCTCCCAATACCTTCCGGGATAACTAAAAATAAAAAGCGGCGAGGGCCGAGGAGAGAGCAGGTCTGCTGGCTGGCCTCTGGCCAGCCAGCCTGCCCTGAGCTCACCTTGCAGACAGCCCTGCAGGAGGGGACACACCAGGCTGGACAATGGGACAGGTGGCGGGCACCTGGGAGGACCCAGGCTGCCTTGGTCCCGGTGTGAGAGGCACGACCCGGCCATTCTGACCCTCAGGGGTCAGCATGCACCACGCTCCTTCCCCAGTGTGGGAACAGGGACCCTCCCAGGCAGGGACAGCTACACCATCCTCAGGAAGTCTCCCTCTTTCTTCCTGCCAAAAGAAAAAAATAAAATAAAATAAAAAGCCTCCCCCCCAGAGGGGAAAGTAGGGCAGCAAAAAGATGCGGAGACGCTCCGAGCACATCCTGGCAGGAAGCCAACCGCCAAGGGTCTGTACAGACCCTGCGGCCACAGGCGCAGTGGTCAGAAGCTGGGGTTCGGAGGGGCCACAGACCTTTGATCACATTCCCGCGCCCCCAGAAGAGAGGGCAGCCCAGCCTGGACGGCTGCCCCTCGGGCCACTCGTGACACAGCCCTCCTTCCCACGGGGCCTCCCAGTGGCCACAATGAGGGCCAGCAGGGGTCATCTCTACCCCACGGCTGAGTGGCCCAGCCAAGGTCACTCCTCGTACAGCCCAGGGTGCTGCAGCTTCAGGAGACCCCGGCCCCCCAGGGTTTCTGTGGCTCTGAGAGCGGTGCTCCAGACCAGACTGAGGGGAGCGGTGGCGAGGGGGCGGCGCCCTGGGACCAGGGAAGGATGCTCTCCCCTCCCCGCTGTCTCCCTCCTGCTGTGCCTGGCTGGGACACTGCAGCAGACTCACCCGGGCTCACACAGCCGCGGGGGGGGGGGGGGGGGGGGGGGGGGGGCAGCCAGCCTCACCCACTCGGAAATTTGGGGGGTGACCTTGCGGCTCAGAAGTCCCCTTCCCGGGCCCTGCAGCAGCTCAGGGCCAGGAGCGCTCCGTTCCCCAGGCCTGGCGTGCCACCAGGAGCCGGGCCACTCCGGAGACTCCCCACACAGGAGTCTGCAAGGGCTGCGCAGGCCCTGGCAGGGGTGGGGGATCCGGGGAGGGCATCGGCCCTTCTGAAGCTTCCCGTCAGACTGCTGGGCTCTAAATCCCGCCTCAGAAACTTCCAGGCCACATCCAGTCTCACTGCCGCAGCTGGCCCGCTGAGCACCCTGAACCACCGCAAGGTGCCGTGACGCCCCGCAGGAGGGCAGGCCTTCCTCCCGCCCACTTCCCATCCCCAGCCCCAGGAGAAGGCACAGCCCAGGCCCTGACGTGCCGGTCACAGGGCTCCCTGGCCAGGGCGGGGCGGCTGCAGGGCCCACATCTCCTGTCCGCTCTGCTCTCTCCAGCCTGGACGAAAGTCTGTCTGTAAGGGGCCCCCTGAGGGAGGGGCTCCAAAGCGTCACCCCGAGGGGACAGTGAGGTCAGGGTTTGGGCCTCCAGAGCTGCAGCAGGCCACTTCCTCGGCATGCAGAGAATGCATGTCCTTCTGGGCCCCCAAGGCCCAGTCCACAGGGAGAACTCACTGTTGCCAGAGGCCCTAGTTGCTATGGGGATGAGCACTGTAGCAGCAAGTCAGCCCCTGTTACCCTGGTCTGGGCCTGAGCAGGCAACTGGCGGGCACACAGGCCGACCGAGGAGATCCAACCCCCAGGACAGCTGCAGTCCCACCGGCCGTCTCCGACAAGGACAGGCCGCTGACCCAGCCGGCTGGCCACACCCTTACTGGTCCCAAGCCCCTCAGGGGCCAGTGGGTCCCCGGCTGCCTCCCTGCTCTGGGTCTCTCTGTGCCTCTGGGCTGAAGTGAAAAAAGCCTTGTGCTCTGGGTCATGGCAGCAGCGAGACCTTCCCCTCAGAACCCACACCCTGCAGGCAGCTGGGCCTCTGCTTTGGTCCCACACAGCAGCCCTGGAGGCAGAGCCACTGTGCCCTCCCTCCTTGACCGCAGCTGACTCCTGCTATCCAAACCTGAGCTTCTCCCTGCCCCAGGCCAGGCCTCGGCAAACAGACCTGCCCAGGCCGCCGCCTGTCTTTCTGCCGCGCCCTCCCCTTTCCTTTCTCCAAAATCCCGAAGTGCCTTTGCTGCGGCAAGCAGGCCTGCAATTTGCCTGGCCCCTGGCTCCGCAGGGGTCCCGCCAAACAACAACAACAACAAAACCAAAAACCTACAAATGACATCAGAAACCAAAAGGGAAACGGGTTGGGAGGGTTGGAAGGAGTAAGGGGCACAGCACAACTGGTAACTCCAGACACCACAGCTCTTCCCCAGCCCAGGGCGGGCACAGGAAGGACTTGCCAGAAACGGGGTGGGGGTGGGGGGGAGTCCCGGTGGCTGAGCCAAGTCCAGGCAGAGACTGGTGCCGGCCTACGGAAGGGTGACAGCAGCACCTTCCCATCCCGCCCCACGCCCTCAGCGCCGGCTCTGAAGTTCACCTCTCTGCAGATGAAGCAAGAGCAAGGCCCAGCGCTCACCCCCCCAAGGACACAAGCACGAAGACACTCTCCCCTGAGCCCCTGCTGAGGACAGGAGGGAAGCATGCAAGGGTCGGGGCGGGTTCCGAGACCGACGAAGGCTCAGTGCAGTGGGGAGAGGGCCTCTGTTCCGGCATGGGCTCCCGACTGGAGGGAGCGAGCTCCTCTCAAGGACACCAAGGCCCTCAGAGGCCTGGCTCACGGAGCCCAGGCCCAGGCCCCCACCCCCCACTGCCTGTGTCATTCACTTTGGAGTCTGTACCAAGATAGCCTCTCCCCCAGTGAACCTCACACCCTCACACAGAGCCTCCAGCACTGGGTACACACTTGAAGAGGAAGGGAGAGAAGCTGGAGCGAGCAACCAACGGAAGGAGAAAGAAGAAGAGGAAAAGGCAAATAGAAGGAGACAGACCTCCCGGAGCCCCATCCAGGTCTGAAGGCTCTGGGGCCCTCCAAATCCGCCCAGGGGCGCCCTGTGGGGTGGGGACAGTGGCCTCGGGCACTCTAGCTCAGACTGCAGAAAGCAGCGAGCGGGGCGGACCGGGTGCAGCGGTGCAGAGCCAGACCGCACCCCGAGGACCCGGCCCCGGCACTTCCTGCCCCGGGACCTTGGGCACATCACCAAACCGCATCCGTAGGTAGGAGCTAACAACAGGACCCACCTCATTTGGCCACTGGGGGCACTGACATAAGAAGAATTAGCTTTTACTGCCTTGGGTAAGAACGGACGCTTTGGCCCTAACAACCCGCTCCCAACAGGCGGCGAGCCCCGGGGAGCCTCAGGAGCTGCTGCTGGCATCTACACGCCACCTCGCGAATAAGGCGAGTGACAGGCTGAGGCCACCCGGCGGGGACAGGCCCCACGCCCCCCAAGTCACCACTGCTCTTTCGTTCGGTGTTTGTTCGGCACGTCTGACGTGGTGCCGGGAGCCAGAGGGGGGAGGGCCCGGCGCCCACGGTCTGGTGAGAGAGGCGCACTGGGCCCGGAGGAGACCCAGGAAGGCCTGGAGGGCGGAGAAGGGAGGCACATGGCGTGCGGGCCTGAGGGGAGTGGACCTTGTCGAGCAGGCCCCTAAGCAAAGCTCCCCGAGAGAGTGCGGCAGCCGAGCTGGGAACCGACAAACAGGAGGGGTGGGAGGGGAGGAGCAGGTGAGGAGAAGCCTCGAGGCAGACGGTGCCACCTGCACAAAGTCTGAGGAGCCCTCAGGCAGCTCGGACTGTCTGCACCACGTCCACGTAACACTCAGGTTACCTGCCAGGTCTGCGTTCCCTGAAGGCAGGGAGGACCACGCGGGGCTTTGCCTGCAGGCACCCCAGGGGTTAGCACGGTCCAGACGTGGGCACACGGCGGGCCCCGGAGGGAGACCACATGCCAGCAAAAACCTCCCTCTGAGAAGCACCAGCCAAGGCGCAGACGCTGGGCAGAGACCCTCCAGCCCTGCCTGACCCAACACCTCACCAGGCACAGGGCAGGTGGAGGCCTCGGAGCGGGGGACCACTCACGCACGCACCCCCTGCATCCACGGTCTCCTTCATGATGATCTCCACCCGCTCCACATGGTGCCGGTTCCAGAGGCCGTCCAAGGCCTGGCGGTTCTGGTCTCGGAAAGGCAGGATCTGAGCCACGGCCTGCCAGGGAAGGAGACCGGTTATGCTGCCGGTTCTCAGGGTGAAGAAGGAATCCTGACCCTAAGGAAGGGCCCCAACTTCTCTACCCCCTGCTCGGAGAAGATGCTTTCAGGAGCCATCGTCCCTGGGCCTTAGGACTTCACAGCTCCATACAGACTCCAAATCTGTTAAGTGACCTCCACAAGGGTTTCCAGCTTTTTATTTTGCAAGGAAAAAAAAAATATTTAAGATTACTTACCTTCTATTACTGCCAACTTTTCATAAAAGATATTTTAACACCAAAAATGGAGCAAGAACAACTTCAGACTGGATACATTCTGGAAATGTTCTCTTCTCATTTTCCCAGAAACAAGCGAACACCTCACCAGGTCAGACGCAGGTCTGAGGGGCACTCTGGGAATCTTGCAGCTCCAAACAGGGCTGGCTAGAAAGCGATGCCTCTGTCCTGGAAGACTATGAGGTGCCCACCCACAGGGCCCTGGGCTCACCAGCCTGGTCCGTACCAGAGAAGACCGCGCAGCACGCCCTCTGCTGCGCTTTCTAGGAAGAGATGTTCCGGAGGCACTCGGAGGGCATGCTCAGAGTGAGGTGGCCAGCCGGCCCGCATCACCCAGGAGCTCAGCCCCAGGCTCCGCCACAGAACCTGGCTGCGAAGCATGGACTTAGGGTCCCTGCTCACTGTAGGATCTTGTTGCCAGCCTTCTGGCTCAAAACAAAACTCAGGAAGACGGAGATACTGAAAAAGGGCAGATGGGTGTGGAGTAAGTTAGTTCCCACACCATGACCCACTGGAAGCCAGGCCAACACCTGCGCAGAGGACGCAGGGCGACGAGAAACAAAGCTCTGGCCACGTGCACGAGGGCCACGCATCCTGCCCTTACTGCTCGGCTTTTCCTTCAGCCTCTCACCACTTGCCCACCTTCAGGGGCTTTGCCTGCAGGCACCCCAAGGGTTAGCACGGTTAGGACAACCACGGGAGCTCCACTTTCACAATGGCTCCAGGCCTCATCCCACAAGCACCAGTGTGGCTCTGTCCATGGGGTCTACCCACTCCCAGCTCACTCCAACCCTGGCAAGCGCCCCGCTGAAGCTCACCTGCTTGCCCAGGTAATGGTCCACCCGGTACATCTCCTCCTCTTGGAAAAAGCTCCCAAGTTCCGTGGCCAGCTGCTGGGCTGAGAGGTGGTCGTGGCCAAAGGGCTTTTCCAGGACAACCCGCAGCCAGGCACCCGGGCCCGGGCGGCAGCTGCTGTTGATGCTGCGAGCAATACCCGCATAGGCAAAGGGTGGCACAGAGAAGTAGAAAACCCTGCCGGCCTCCCGGAGGCCTTTGTGTTCGAGCTGTGCCTCAATGTCCTTGCTCAGGGCCATATAGTCTTCATTCGTCCTCAGGCGGCGGTACTGGCTCAGTTGCTGGAACTGGCCCCTGAGTTCGGCACAGCGCCTGGGCACCATGTCCTCGGGGCAGGAGAGGGACTCCAGGACCTTGGTGATGAACTCCTGGCCCTGCTTGGTGGATGTGAGAGCAGCCCCATGGAAGCTGAAACTGTAGCCCTTCCCCACCTCATCCAGGTACAGCTGGAACAGTCCCTGCCATAAGTATTTTTTGGCCAGGTCCCCAGTCGCTCCCAGCAGGATAACAGAGACATGTCCCTGGAGCTCCTGGGCCTGCAGGCAAGCCACAAGGGCCATGCACATTGCCACTGTGAGCATCTTCCAACAGCCAGGGCACCTGGGCAGAGGTAAGACAAGGAACAAGGAAGGATCAGACATGGTTCAGGTGACGGGGATGTGGAGGTAAACACATCTCTGGGCTATCAAACATTTCCTGCCTGGCAAAAAACCACCACGTGTTTTCTCTCAGAAAAACGTTATAATCCCACAGCTTGCCCCTCCCTCCGCAGCAGCTTGGCTTCTGTGCCAGGAAGCTGGTGGGTAGGGAGCCTACCCTGTAAGCAGGGACTGTGGTCGGGAAGGTGGTAGGCCACTTGCTAGAGACGGGCCACTGTGCTGCAGGAAGCACCAGGGAGGCCCGTAGCGTGGCCACGGGATTGCGGTTGTCCACTCTCTGACCACGGCCAGTCTCGTCCATGAGCGTAGGGCGCCAGGACCATCGGGGCAGCTCGGGAATAGGTAGCAGGCCCTCTGGTGATGGCTGGAACTACGAGAAGATATGCTCACCTCCACTCACTCCTCCCTCCGCTTTTCCCATGTCCTCTGGGCTCCAAGCACAAAACAATTACTAGTAACTGCTACAGTGTAGTGATTAAAAACAGAGCCGCTGGGGGCGCCTGGGTGGCTCAGTCAGTTAAGCGTCCGACCGACTCTTGGTCTCAGGGACATGAGCTCAGGACCCACACTGGGCTCCACGCTGGGTGTGAGGCCTACTTTAAATTAACTAATTAATTAAAATAAAATGATAAAATAAAAACACAGTCTCTGGAGCCGACTGAGGTTGAATCCCAGCTCAACCCCTTCCTGTTGGACCTCAGACAAGTATTTAACCTCTGCACACCTCAGTTCCCTCATCTGAAATGGGGGTAACGGCGACCTGCGCCATACGGTTATTTGAAGGACAGATGAGTTAATATTTATAAAACGCTCAGGACACCGCCTACCACCCTGGAAGCACTACGGAAGCGGTAGCTGTCCCTATGGTCTGCCGATGACAACAGCAACACCGAACTAAGTCCTTACGCGCAGAAGACCTAGTGCGTCCAGGGAAGAGCCCTGAAAAAGCACCAGTGGAGTGCATACTATGATCATTTCCCTTCTGCAGGGAGCAAAGCTGAGGCTTGGGTGGCGAAGGGGCCCGGGAGAGGAAGCGGGGAGCCGGGCAGGCACCGGGCTCTCCAGCCCCCACACTGCCACCCCGCAAACGCATGCCGCAGCCTCCGTAAGGGGAGCCTCACATCTTGGCTGATTTCCAGCCTCACTGAAAGCAGCTGACACGTATGAAGGGCCACAGGCCTCGGACCTGCCACAAATGCACCCGAGGACTTGCTTTCACTTGCCTTCTGTTCTGACCAAGGCTGTGGGGCTTAATGTGCTCCATCCTTACTCCACAGCTCTCCTGTTCCAATTTCCCAGCAAGGCCCGTGCTTTGAGGGAAAGGGAGAAGTGGTGACGGGGAAAGTAATCATGGTCAGCAACTCGGCTCTCAGAAATAGTGGGGCAACGGAGCCCGGCCTGGGGCACTGGAGCAGGGAAGGAGGATTCAAGATTACTGACAGCAGGCGTTCCCAGATGAAGGAGTAACACGACCCTCAACGATGAGGCTCTGATCCGTTGTTCGGGTAGGGAAACTGAGGTTTAGAGAGATACCTGGCCAGCCTACCTTCCTGCACTCCTATACTGTCCTCCATCTTGAGGGACCGGAGCGGCCCTCTGACAGCAGCACCCCGCACCCCCCTTCTCCCTCTGCCTCTTCCTCATCTCTCTCGGTCAGCAGCCAAACCAAGGTGAGGGTCCAACAGCAGTATCTGTCTACCAGACGTTTCCACTACTGGGGCTTTAACCGGAGGATCCAGGGACCAGCTGCGCGGCCTCCCACGCTTCCCCGTCCACTCCCTTCACCTGCACACTCACTCCCAAATCGGATGGGCCGCAGGACCACTCTACTTTCTTCTCCTGCTTCCCAATCCCCGTCCTTGGCCCTTCATGCATTTCTTCCCGAACTGGCAATCGCCCCTGTCTGGAGGGAAGAAAAAGCTGCAAGGTCAGTGCGGGAAAGAGGCAGCGAGAAATCTGAAGCCCAGAGAACAGCCTGGAGAAGGAGGAGCCTCCAGCTGGCAAGCTGCATCTCAGAGCTCCTGATCCGATATGGGCAGCCAGGGCCCTGGACGTAACGGGCACAAGAGGAGAAGCTCAGGAACCTCAGAGCGCCCGGACAGGCAGGCGAGGGAGCCCCAAGGGCCAGTACCTCAACCCCCACCCCAGAAGACTGCAGAACTGGCATGTCCCAAAGCCGGAGCCCCCAGTCACTGTGCTCAGCAGCTTCCTCAGTCAAGCGGGGGAACGTGGCATTTGGGGCAGAGGACCAGGCTCAAGACCTCCTCCCAGCTGTGGGATCTACTTAAGTCACCTACTCAGTTTGGGCCCACGTTTCCTAACTATGAAACAGGGCCAATACCACCGAACTAAATGGGGGGGTTGGAAGGATGAGCTGTGGTGACACAGGTGACAACTCCCTATGCAGATGTTAACTACCTTCGCTAAACGGAAGGCCTCTCTCGTGGCTCCACAGGGGGGCACAACGCCACTGCTGTCAGGAAAACCTGTGCACTCCCCTGGTCTCGGGGGCTGCAGGAGGCAGCGCTGAGAACAAACTGGCATTCACGTCCCACTCCCCAGCCCGGTCCCGATGCCCTGCCCTGAGAGGGGGCGGACAGCAACGGGTACAGCTGTCCTCCCTGCAGCCCCAACAGGGACACAAACAGGCTCAGAGAAGCCGCCCACCCAAGTGAAGAACGGGGCCCCAGGGGCACCTGGGTGGCTCAGTCGGTTAAGCGTCTACCTTCGGCTCAGGTCATGATCCCAGGGTCCTGGGATCAAGCCCCACGTCGGGCTCCCTGCTCGGCGGGAAGCCTGCTTCTCCCTCTCCCACTCCCCCTGCTTGTGTTCCTGCTCTCGCTGTGTCTCTCTCTGTCAAATAAATAAAAATCTAAAAAAAAACAAAAAAAGAGAGAACGGGGGCCCTAGCCCACAAGCAGGGGTGAGGCAACAGGGAAAACAAGATGCCTCGCACGCATCCCCCGGGGCTCTCGGCCGCTCGTGCTGCGAGGCTCTAGCGCCGAAGGGCCTTCTGCGGCTCGGCCTCCCATCTCTGCACCGGCTCCCAGAGGACCGGCCCTGGCACTGCCGTGAACAGCTTCTGCTTTTAATGAGTAAGTAAATAAGAAAACCACTGGTGAACAGTTGGAGGAGCTCCGGCCCCGGACGGGCGGCGGGCCCGGCCTAGGCCTCGGTTCCTCGTCTGCGACAGAAGAGACTTCGCCAGAGGACCGCCCCTTCGCTGCCCCCAGATCGTGTGCTTCCCACGGGAGGGGGACAAGCCCTCTATTATCAGGGAGATGCCAGCGCTCCGCTTCGGGGCTTAGCACCTTAGACCCAGGTGGGCAGCAGGGCCAGGGAAAGAGGACTCAACAGGAAATGAGGGGCTGATGACTACGTGTCACTCAGAGGCTCAGACAAAACTCTCTGAAGCCTTAATTTGAGCCTGTGGAGGGTGCAATTTCCTTTACAATTATTATTCAAGGTACTTGCCAGAAACACACTACACCCAGGAAGCGCAGGTGCCTCTGGGGAGGAGAGAAGACCTTCTTCGGACAGGCTCATCTTAACAGCAGGCCTGACGGGGCACATGGCCACAGGCCAGGGCATCTTTCACGGCCCCCAACCCAGCCGGAGGAGTGCCCATCAGGCATCCTGGGGGACTCACCTTTTCAAGTACAGCTGTGCCAAACATTCCCAAAGCTGGGAGCGCTGACCTGGCCAGCCAGAGGGTTTGGATCAGAATCAGGGTTCCAGTCTTTGTTTATGGGGAGCAACCCTGCAGCCGGGCCTGACCCATCCTAGCACGGCCGCAGCGTGTGCTGGGGCTCCGGGGGCAGGGTGGTGTCTGGTAAACCACAGGAGGAAACAGCTCTGGTCGTCTCTTCCCAGCACACAAGGGGCAGGAGAAAGGAGCGGGGAGCTAAAGGTCAGTGGCTGCTGCAGCCCTGTTCCCTTTCCCAATGCCACACTGACACCTTTGTCCTCTACCTTGTTTGCCAAGCAGGAAGGAGGGAAGTTTTCTTCAAATCACAGCCTGGGAGTTCGGAACTGTTGAAAGAACGTGTGGGAGTAAAACAAGAGTTCAAACTGAAGATCACTTCTAACCAAAGCGGGAGGGGATGCGCCCAGTCCCCTCTATAATCACTCACCCAAGCGTTTTTCCTGCACTCTCCTTGTTCGGGCCCATCAGCACCAAACACAGCCATGCAAGTCAAGCCCTTCAGCTGCTATGAGACCTGTACCCCTTCCCTACTTGTTCTCCTCGGGGCTAGACTGGGGACAAGAGTTGCAAGATCAGGCTCTGGGGCCGTTTCCCCTCCCTGATCTCAGAGAATTCTTGTACCGGTCACCTCTTTAGGTGTCTTGGGTCCCTGTGACCCCGGGGGTGTGCTGCAGCCACCTTGTACCGGCACACAAGGTTCAACTGCTGCATTTTCAGGAATTTTTCAAGCCAGGTATTAAACACAGCCATTATTAAAAGCCACATCGCACAAATTTATAACCAAATAAATTGTATTAAAAACAAAAGCAATAAATACTTATTATTGCTCATCATTTCCTAATTATTTGACTACATTTTACTCTCCACCTGTGCTCTTGACATTATTGACATCTATTGTATCTGTAAGGTGAAGATATTCTGTACTGGGGTGTTTGCAATGGCCAGTGCAGGAATATTGCACCACAGATACTGGCAAATGCTGTGGATCAGGCTCCCTCCCCATCACCAACCCCCACCCTACAGAGTCGTTACACATTTACCAGCATACAACGCCAGGTCTTCACCTCCGTTCTGGGCTTTCTCCCCCAACTCCAGGCTCATCCAATCAACTGCTACTCTGACACCATTAGCTGGATGCCTACAAGACTTACTACGTTCAAAATTGAACGGAGAACGGACTTCTCTGCCAACCTGCTCCAAATGCAGATTTCCCCAGCCTCAGTAAATGGCAACTCTATCCTTCCAGGTGCTGAGGGCAGAAACTTGGGAGGGGGTGTCATCCAATCTGTTAGCAAATCCTGTAATTTCTATCATCAAAATTTATCCAGAACACAACTACTCGCCACCTTCCACAACCGCACTCTGCTTCTAACCACCATCACCTCTGTCTGGATTACTGTAGGAACCACCTAATTGGCCTCCCGTTTCTGCCTTTCCCTGAACAAGACGTTCAGTGGCCTTTTTATGGCCTCCTACCCATTTCCTCCTTGATCTCTTCTGCCAGTTGCCCCTCTCTGGGCTCCAGCCTCCCGTCCTCCTACCTCAGGGCCTTTGTACTTGCTGTTTGCTCTGCCTGGCCTACTTTTCCCTGCCAATGTCCACACGGTTCACTCCCTCACTGACTTGAATTCTTTGTTGAAATGTCACCTTCTCCGTGAGGCTTTCTCAGCCGACTCTGTAAAATTGCAAACCTCCCCCCTCCATCTCACTCCCTGCTTTCTCTCCGCAGTACATATCAGTCTCTAATATACTGTCTGTGGAAAGTGTATTTGTTTGGTTTATTCTCTGTTGCCCCTCCCGTCAAGAATGTAAGTGCCAACGAGGGCAGGGGGCTTTGTGCTTATCTTCAGTATCCAAAACAAGGCCCGGCACACAGAAGGTGCACTCTAAATACGTGCTGAATGAACAGATAAATCCCATCTGTAGTAGACCCCTGCCACCTGTGTAGGCGCCATCTGCATCCGAATGGTGGCAAGAAGGAAGACATGTCTACCGCGGACCTCAAGTGCTGTGACACAGTACACAGCTTCCCATCACACTATTAATAATACAAGAAACATTTACAAGTATTTCACTATACACCGGATACGAGAGCTTCACATTTATCACTGGAGTTAAATTTTTGCCACACCTATGAGATAGGTACCACTATTATGCCCATTTTTAGAATGAGTACAGAGGAAACCAAGGTGGCACAGAGGGGAAAATGACTGAAGGGCGGGCAGCTCAGAGGTGATCAGATGTGAATACAGGCAGTCTGGCTTCAGTACTGACCTCCCACTTACCAGGAAAACGCGGACCACAACCCCAAGCGGTGAAATTTAAAACACTGTATTGGTGTGGACACCGATTCTGCTCCTCTAAGAGTCTGGAACAACAGCGGTGTATATAGTCTACTTCTCTCACGTGTTGCAACCACAGAGTAGGAAAACAAGTCGATAAGAAGCACAAAATGAGGCAATCCATATAAAGCACGTGGCAGGATACTTGGCACACAGCAAGGGCCCAAGAAATGTTAGCTTCTATCATTATTAAACCAACAGCATCATGGGTAAAGGTACTTTTCTTGCTAGCTTCTTGGAACTGCTACAAGATGAATTAAGCAGCCCGCAACAGAAAAAATGCCAAGGAACAGCTCATTAACAGCTTCATGACCTTCCAATCATACTGATGAAAAATCAAAGAAATACCATGCTAAAAAGGTTCAAAGTCCCCACTCCAGCCCTTTAGGGATTTATAATCTGGCCTAAAGAATAGGGGCATAAACTCCTTCACTCTGTAGCCATAGGCCTTTCCCCTAACTACCCAGGGCCTCTTCTTCAGTTGTGAAATGGGGATCCATTCCCCTCATTTCAACACTGGGCCAAAAAAAACCCAGATCATGGCTGCGAAAATACTTTAGGGGGCAATAGTGTTGAGAGCTCTCCCAGGGAACCACCTGGCTCCCAACTCAAGGAAGCAAAAAGCAAAACCAGACTTCCTGCTCTGTCCCTGGGTTAGGGTCTGGTAGAATCCACGGGGAAATCTGGCATCAGTGACATCTTACCTTGTTTAAATTCCATGAATAAAGTGAGAAGTGGCTAGGCCACTGATGACCAAAGGTGCCTCTTGGCTTCCCTTTAAGATGACCTAAAACCATCTGACTGTAAGAGTAACTTCGTGAACTCCAGTATTTGGATAAAAATAACCTGAATGTTCGCCTAGAGTGGTTATTTGTGGGGCAGTCATGTACCTCAAAGAAAAGTTACACAAAGCGCTCTCTGAAAAAATGAGCTCTGTTCATGCCAAACAGGGGGCATTTTTATCTCGGGTGGTCCTAAAACTTACCGAAAGATTAGCCTCATAAGCTCAAAAAGTCTATCCACCATCCATCACTGCAGAGAATGTAGAAAATAATTTAAAATATGCCCACTCTACAGCAGTCTCCCCTAATTTGTTCCCTTTCATGAGCCACAGGCCCCGTTGGGAGGACAGGGGGTTGGGTGGACAAAGAATTTAGGCCTATGATCTTTCCAGAAGTTCTCATTTCCGACTACATTCAAGTTTAAGTGAGCTGATTTTCAGAGATGCAGATAGATTCACTTCTGGAAAACTATTCACTGGATGGGTGTCTTGCAAACGCTGACCGGAACCTGAGGGCTAATGCCAAAGATTAAGCTGATCCCAGGGGGAAAAAAGCACCGGGAGTTCCTCCTCTCATTGAACCAACTTCCAGAAAGCCTAGGAAAGGGAACGCCGCCGCTCGCCCTTCTGAACTGGCCTCGAGGGGCCTGGCTGCCCCCTGCAGCCAAGGGATCTGCAGGGGAGGAAGTGAACGACTCATTTTGAGGGCGCGGGGCTGGGAGGGAACTCGGGCGGACTCTGGCCCCCGCCGTAGTCCGAGCGCAGACGCGAGACGATTCCCAGCAAAAGGCCCGAGGAGCTCACGCCGCGCGCGCGGCCGGCCTCCCGGGCCGCGGGGCCCACGGATCTCAGGCTTGGGCACGCGCGGGCGCGCAGCCGCCGGCCGCCTACCAACAACGCCCGCGGCCGAAGGAGCCGGAGACCAAACGGGGGAGGCAGCTTACTTCATCTCGCCCGTCAGAGCCGGCCGCTTCTCCGGGAAATGTCGGCGGCGGCGGCGCGGGGCGCGCGGCGCTGCGGGCCGGGCTCGGGCCAGGCTGGGGCCCCGCGCATCCTCTTCCGCAGGCGCGGCCCGCCCCGACAGGTGCGCGTCACGCGGCCCCGCGTCGGACGCGCGCTCGGGTTTCGCCGAGAGGAGCCGGGGGCGACGGGTGCGGAGGGCGCGGGGCCAAGTCCGCCCGGCCGCCCCTTCCCTGCCCCACCCGAGCCGCGTCGGGCCCGGCAGCGCGGGGGGGGGCGGCCCCGTGGGCCTGAGCCCCAGACCACCGCGGCCTCGGCGCGCGCGCACGCGCACGCGCGCGCGCAGTCGGCTCCCCAGCGAGGGGCGCGGGGCGGAGGCGCACGCGAAACCACGCCTCCTAGTTCGGGGTCGTCCGGGGGGGGGAGAGGCGGGGCCTCCCGAATGGTTTCTTGGTTAGCGTGGATAGGGCGGGACTTCAGAGCCGCGTGGGCGGGCAAGCGGCCCTCCGCCGTCCGGTCGGCGGCGCTGGGTTCCCGCGGAGCTTCTGAGGGGCTGCCCTCTGAGACACACGAGTGGCCGGGGGAAGTGGTTGTGTCGTGGAGGAAGCCGGGCGGCCGGGTGGCTGGGTCCTCCCCAGGATCTGGCCTGAGCTGTGCGACCTGGAACAGGTTACCCGACCTCCTCAGGCCTTGCTTTTCTGCATCTGTACAACGGGAGAGCCGCTGGGTTCGCCCCACTTCCAACGCCCCGAAGAGGGGACTTAGGGGTCGCAGAGCGCGCTATGGCCGTCTCTGCTTACACCCCTGTGACCTTGCAGATGCAACCCTGTACAGTAGGGACAAGGAGACGGTGTGCCTCAGCCGTGACCCGGCCTGTGACAAGTACTCAGCAAATGGGAGCTTGCCCGTGTGTGGCTTTATTTGCAAGACAGTGAATGGGCCTAGGCCTTCCCTGTAGGGTGGTGGTGGGCTGCGTACGTGAGATGACGTGGTCAGCTGCTTCTTTCAGCGCTCAGTGGACGGCATGCCGTCCTCTACCTCTGTCCTCACCAATGTCGTGCGGCCTCTGACCCTCACCCCGCAGCAACCTCGCGCCTGCTTTTCTCCCAGCCCCACTGGGCTCTCAGTGCCCCTAGTGGCGCCCCCGCCATGAGAGAAGCAGCTCCTCCTTCCCGAGTGAAGATCCTGAGTGACCTCGGGTTAATGAAGGCAGCGCCACCCAGTACTACTTCCTGGATGTGGACCCCCCTAGCCCCCGTCCCTACTCCTGGAGCATCTTAGCTCTGTCCCTTCTCCAGACCCACCTTCCTCCCAACACAGGCACAGGAGGAAGCATGGTCACTTCTGCTGAAGAGTGCAGACCACCCAGGAGGGGGATTCTGATTGGAGAGGAAAAGCTTGGAGCAGCTTTTTATTTCACGAAGGTTGCGTTAGAGGTAGAGCATTGAGAACGGACAGAGGGAACTTGGCAGCGGCCAGCAAAACTGAGTGGGGCCAAAAGGCATGATTACCCCACAGGATATTGGGCAAGAGTGTTCCAGGAAGGCTGGGAAGCTGAAGGGGGCGGGGCCCCACTTCACCAAGCCCAGGGGGCCATCTGGGGGCCTGGAGGAAGCTGCCAGGCCTCAGGAAGAATTAAGGCCATACCGGGTGGGACCTGGGCAGAGGGTCAAGGAGCCAAGTACCCACTGGGCTGGAAGTAGGCAGGAGGGTCTGGGGCAGGGGCCAGCCAAACCAGTCTGGATGATGCTAGGACTGTTAGCCGAGAGCCCTTCCCATGTTCTGTAACCCTGGGTGCACTGTGCCTGGTACAACTGTGTATACTTGAGAGAAGGCAGGTGCTCCAAGACTGAGATGAGCCCAGGGGATGTTTCCCAGGTCCCTAATACAGCCATCACGAGGATGGTCTGTGGGTACCTTGAGGGCGTCTTCAAAAATATCCCATGGGGGCACCTGGGTGGCTCAGTCCGTTAAGCACCTGCCTTCGGCTCAGGTCGTGATCCCAGAGTCCTGGGATTGAGCCCCGCATCAGGATCCCTGCTCACTGGGAAGGCTGCTTCTCCCTCTCCCACTCCCCCTGCTTGTGCTCTCTTTCTCAAATAAATAAATAAAATCTTTAATAAATAAATAAATAATATCCCATAGCCAAGTCGATCGTAAGCGGCTTTTTAAAAACGATATATTAATTTATCTTAAGAGTGCGCGCACATACCAGCAGAGGGAGGAGCAGAGGGAGAGGGAGAGAGAATCCTCAAGCAGACTCCCCGTTGAGCACGGACACCCCCCCCCCGACTCCCGCCCTGGCCCAAATACACAAGGGGCTTGATCCAACCATTCCAAGATCACGGCCCAAGCTGAAAGCAAGAGTCGGGCGCTTAACCGACTGAGCCACCCACGTGCCCCAGTTGTAAGCAGCTTATTAAGAAAATGCGTGTGTCCTCTTAAGTCAGTGGGACAGGGTCTGAGGAGTGATGTGAAATGAGCCGAAGATGTCACAACTGATCTATCCATTGGTCCTTCCACTCCCATACATCCCTGAGATGTTTTCATTTCTCTACCCTCCTCCCTCACTTTCAAAGTCCTTATCTCAGGCTTGTCCTGACTCTGTACCTTCTAGTCTGATCTGGACCATTTGCTTTGCTTTCTTTCCATCATGAAAACAATTTGGTCTCATCCAGGTGCAAGACTATTGCCTCCCCCCCCCCCCCAACAAACGCACAAATTTAAAACCTTTTCCATTTGGGCCTGTGACTGGCTTCTGCACATTTGCCTCCCTGGAGCTTTTCTCATTTCTGTGCTCCCAGCAGCTACAAGACACTCCAGCCTACACCACGGGGGACCAGCTGTGCCCCAAACCCTCTGAAGGAAGTCAGAAGAAAGGAGCAATGCCCCGTGGGGCCTCCTGAGACCCAGACTGTGTCTGTGGCTTCCCACTTCTCAAGGAACACCCTACGGCTCTCTTCGTGAAGCTGATTTTTTTCATCTTCCTAAACTGTGGGGTAGGCAGAAGTCAGGGTTAACTCAGCCTGCTTCACAGACATGGAAAGTGAGACCCAGAAAGATGAATGACTCACAAGAGATGTCTGTGGAGTTAGAAATAAAATCACGTTGCAGTTTCTATTTTCAGAACCACTCACTAAGTCAGCTCCTCTCGTTCACTCGGTGTTTTGCACCAGGTGGGGAGGGGGGAGAACAGGTGTTGTGGATTTTCAGCTACAAGTAGATCTTTTCATCCCCAGACGTGAGAAAGCTCAGCACTTTTTTTTCCACCTAAAGATTGGCTTCATAAAGTCCACGTGAAGTAGCTCCGTATTGTGTTTCTATTGCTGCCATGACAATTTACCACCATTTAGTGACTTAAACAACACAAACGTGTTATCTCACAGCCCTATAGATCAGAAGTCCAGCAAGGGTCTCAGTGGACTAACACTCTGGGGCTGCAGGGCTGTGTTTCTTCCTAGGCAGCCCTTTTCTTGCTCATGGGGATGCTGCCAGAACTCAGTTCCTTGTGGCTTAGGACTGAGATCCCTGTCCCCTTGCTGGCTGTCAGCTGAGGGCCACTCCGAGCTTTTAGAAGCTACCACATTCCCTGGCTTATGGTCCCCTTCCTCAGTCTTCAAAGCCAGCCACAGAAGGTTGAGTGCTTTGATCTTTCCTCCTTTTTGGGGCTCATCTCTCTGACCCTTCTGAGAAAGAGCCTCTGCTTTTTTTTTTTTTTTTAAGATTTATTTATTTATTTTGGAGCGCGAGCAGGGGGAGGGGCAGAGGGAGAGGGAGAGAGAGAGAGAGAGAGAGAGAGAGAGAGAAGCAGACTCCCTGCTGAGCACGGAGCCCGACATGGGGCTTGAACCCATGACCCTGAGATCACGACCTGAGCTGAAATCAAGAGTCAGACGTTTAACCAACCGCACCATCCAGGCACCCCATTTTTTTTAAGGCCTCTTCCTTTAAGAACTCACATGATTAGACTAGGCACACTCCAATAAACCAGGATAATATCCCATTTTCAGAGTCCATATCCTTAGTCACATCTGCAAAGTCCCTTTTGCCACATAAGGTGACATTTTCACAAGGTCCAGACATTTCACAAGGCCTGGACATCTTCAGGGAGTCATTATTCTGCCCACCACAAATGATCACTTTCTAGCCTCTCAACCCTCCTGATTGTCCAGGATCTTGAGGACTTTTTACTAATAGCTTTACTGAAATATAATTCACATACTGTCTAATTCACCCACTTAAAGTGTAAAATCCAGGGCACCTGGGTGGCTCAGTCGGCTAAGCGTCTGCCTTTAGCTCAGGTTCTGATTCCAGGTCCTGGGATCGAGCCCCATGTTGGGATCCCGGCTCGGTGGGGAGTCTGCTTCTCCCTCTCCCTCCCCGCTCCTGCTGTCTGTCTCTATCTCTCTCTGTCTCAAATAAATAAATAAACAAAAACTTTAAAAAAAGTGTAAAAATCATCCATTTCTAGTGCGTTCACTGGGTGATGCGACCATCCCCAATATCAATTTAGAATATTATCACCCCAACAAGAAACCATGCACTTATTAGCACTCACTCCCCATTTCTCCCCAACCATCTCAGCCCTAGGCAGCCTCTAATCTACTCTCTATCTCTGCAATTTGCCAGTTCTGGACATTTCATATACATGGAATCATATAACATTTGACCTTTTGTGTATATATACGTTAGATACACACACACATATAATGTGTGCCTACATGTTTTCAAGATTCGTCCGTGTTGTAGTGTGTATCAATGCTTCATTCGTTTTCTTGCTATATAGTATTTGATTGGACGGAGAGACAATGTTTTGTCTATCCATTCATCAACACATCTGTGTTATGGGTGTTTTCTGCTTTGGGGGTATTATGAATAATGCTGCTATGAATACATGCATACATGTTTTTCTGTGAACATTCTTATTTCTCTTGGATATACACCCAGGAGTGGAATTGGCCAGTCTTATGGTAACTCTACAATTAACTTTTTGAGAAACAGCTAGACTCTTTGCCACAGTGACTGTGCCAATCTAGGTTCCCACCGCCAATGTCCGAGCTTTCCTATTTCTCCACATTCTTGTCAACACTTGTTATTAACTGACATCTTGATTCTAGCCATCCTCATGGGTGTGAATCGGGATCTAACTGTGGTTTTGATTTACGTCTTCTTGATGGCTTTTAACATTGAGCATCTTTTCATGGGCTTATTGGCCACTTGTTTTATCTTCTTTGGAAAAATG